GTGTGGATGGTATCTGGGATTTAATCTTCTCTTTAACCATGCCCATACCCTTCACTCTGATATCTTCTTTAATTTCGTTTATTTTGTTTCAACTTTTTAATCCTTACAGTTCTTATTATTGTTCTATTTGTTATAACAGAATTAAGATGATTAAGCAGAGCAAACGACAAAAATGATTTATAGCTGTAAAGGAAAGTGATACCGATGTTCCTATCTCGGTATTAATTGACATGCCGAGTGAAAGATATTTTTCACTCCTTAGTGTTCCATTCGTCTTTCGATATTTTTCTATCATGTTATAGAAGAAAAAGTTACACAACATATATTAAAATCAGCTTGAAACTCTTTGGTTTCGAAGCACGGCAGTCGATCCATTATCAAAAAGGACCTTCTTGAACTGGTTCGTTGGATCCATGTTTGACAGGATATAATAGTTGAATAATTAACTTTGTTTAGTTTTCGGTGCTCTATTTCAGGGTATATTGGACAAAAAATTTGGTTGATCAGATGTCGAGCTAGTCGAACCAACGTTTTTCGTGGAAATCGGAGTGGCAAAAAGTCGACAATGGCTAACTTTTTCACAAAACAATATTAGAGATGAAAATTTGGGTTTAGTAGTTTCAGAAGTTGGGCTGTTGAATATAGTTACATGAGAAATTTTTTTTTAATTTGATAAGTGTTTTATATGCTCGATCGATACATGGGTTCTCTCTTAACAATAGAACAACAGAAGTGATGGCAGCTCTTTTGAGTATAAAGTTCGTTTTTCCTGTATCGAAAGTTTTTTTCCAGTAAATTTTATTTCAATAGCTTCAATTCAATGACAGAATAAAGTATTCTTTTAAGCACCACATGGTTGTCTTCCATTACAGCCATATCCTCCAATTCCATCACAATCATAAACAACAAATGTTTGCTCTTGATATTGCCATTCATAACTACCACCAATACCTTCAATTTCATACGTACAACAACCATACCCAGAAAATTCCATATCAACACGTTGTGGTTTATTCCAATTCTCTTTTGTAAAAACAATTTTTGGATTGCCATTAGCTGTGAATTTTGCACATTTTGTACCATTGTAATACCAATTTGGTTTTGGTCTAAAATTGATTGTTACTTCATCACCCAATGAATGAACAGGCGGTGTTTGTAATGTTAATGTGAAATTATCAAGACCACCATCTGGTGTAACAACAAAACCGCGTACTGGTAAGTGTGAGTAACCTAAGCCATGGAAATAAAAACACTAATAAAAAATGTTTGACGAATAAAATAGAAAACTACCGTTATTAGCATTGCCACATGCTGATGGCCATTGTGCAGGCAAATTAAACAGCGGTTCAACTTCCGATGGTATGCCATATATAAATGATAAGTAAATGACCGATGTATATCTACGAAATTGAGAAGAAAGATATTTGTGGTTAGAGGCCGATAAAAGGGCTCAAATTTTTCAGCTAGATAGAAGGTTTCGAAATGCTAACGTCGATAAGTCCTCGATAAAGCTAGACAAATGAAAATGGCTGATAAATAAATCCGGAAGAAATTTGACATTTTGAGACTGATCTTTTGATCAACAATTTTTTTTCCATAGTGCTTAATGTTTTTCTGGTCTATAAAGTATTAAAAATTTCAAAACCGTTCTTATAGTCTTCAAAGAACAACACAAGTCATATTTTCTGATGACTCGAAGCTATACTAACAAACATGTTTCTTAGTCAGAAGTTGGGCGTGTCAGTTTCTGGTTTCTGTTTCTAAAAACAAGTCGCTCCACGAGTTCCGGGAACCTGTCATACACTGAAGTTTCAATTTTGGGAGATCCGGAAACCATTTTGATATCATCACAGGTTATCAAGGATAAACATAGACACATTAATGTGCTCAGATATGCACGCAAACAGTTTTTAACATGAGTTTTCGTTTTTTGAAAGCAAAAACTGTGGAAAGAGAAACTATGACATCCATAATCAGAAATGTGGTCACTATACTTCTGTCTAAGAAAATTTGATTTCAATCGTCAATTTTTGTACATGCTCCAAGATGGCCGAGCTCCAATCCATCTAAAAGACTAAATTTCTGAATTTGATTCCAATTTTGATAATCACTTCCTCATCGGTATCATAAAAACCTGTTGCCGCTCTTGCTTGTATTGTTTTAACTGGTATACCATCATTGGTTTCAAAGTAACTTAAACATGGTACTTTGCCAATACCACTTGTTTTTAAATCACATATATCAGATGAATCATATCTCTATAGATCAAAAACAATGTCAGACTCTGCACGAATGTGATGTATTTATTAACGAGACTTACAAGTGCATTAATTTTTAACTCTGGAATCCATTCAACACCTTTATAAACTAAATTATCAGGTAATGGAAACCATGGTTTCATATCAATATCACCGTCAGCTGTCATCCATGAATATGGAAATGCACCAAAATTTTTTATTGGGAGAGTATTATACCAACAGTTACCCGTAACAAAAAAAAAACGTTGCTTTTATTTTTTTTTGAAAATTGCGAGCTTACCTTAGTCAGTTCTGGATAATCAGGATTGAAATTAAACATTGTATAACCTTGTGCTACCGGCTAAAACAAAGAAGAAAATTACCTGATTTATGGCTACGTAAACTGTGACAAGTACATCTTCGAAAAACATGACATGTACTAGCTAAATCTTTTTCTATACGCCTAGTATTATTTACCGATCCTTGTTCAGCTCCATTTGGTTTATATGGTATCATATATGTTTCATTTTGTTTAGCTCTTCAACCTTTTATATCAAATCGTGCACGTTGATTAATAAAATCATAAACTAATTGTTCTGGTGCACCAGAATCTTTCCAATGTAAATAGGATGTTTGATTTAATATAGCAACAAATTGTTTTGGAAAACCTTTTGGTTGTTGTTCAGAATGAGATTGACAGTGTTGAACAAGAAGAATAGTTAAAGTAATAACAACCAGGAAAACTTGCTGTTGCATATTTATTGCATTTTTGGTGGCACGAGCAATGATTTTACCGATAACTAAAATAATCAACATGCATCTATATAGACTATGAAAATGAGTTGGCGTACAGAAAGAGAATAGCCTTGAATATTACTGTGCTTATCTCTTTTTTCCATTTGTCATGGTGAGACTTGTGCACAGGAATGACATTGCTGATGCATCTGACTCGTTCATAGCAACTTTTGAATGCTTGATCATCATGACAAAAATATCAAAATTTTAAATGACATCTGAATGCTATTTTACTGTTACTCGATAATAAGTAATAACTATTATTATTTTTCATCACCAATTGATTCTATTCTTTATCATGATAGTACTATTCGAGTTTAAACTATTTTTCTCAGTTGAAAGCAATACAGCTGATATCAGGCATTGTTCAAACATTATTTTGTAGATTCTCTCAGATTTACGGAACTCTAACGAAGAAAAACAATATACAAAAGGCTTCTATCATATTGTAGCTGTTTCTGCTTTGGTTCCAACTCTATTACCTAACGCAACAACTGTTTCTCTTGTTGATGGTGGTGAGCCAGGATGCAATCAGGGTCCGAACATCAAGACTTTGTATGTAAAGATAAGCATCGTGAGAATAGAATTGATCGAATATGCGAGCAAGTATAAATCACAGCCGACTTTACGGGTATTTCGAGTTTGAAATGTTATCGCTGAGAAAGTTGCACTCAGAAGATCGAAGAATAGACTGAGAGCCATTAGAGTGATCCTTACTTTGACCGCTGCTCGTTGTTAACGAATGAATAGACGCCATCTTATTTGATGGCCAAATATGGTATCGAGCTAGAAGCCACATCCTTTTGTTGACAATTGATATCTTGAGCCATAAAAATACTCTGGACACACGCACGTCACTGACATTGGACCAGAGACGATGATCTTGAAAGGGTGTGGATGTAGGTGTGGATGTCAGATTCCTTTTCATTCAGATGCAAAACCAATACCTACACGCCACGCACTCATACTCACATTGCAATAGAGAATAGGGTAATGATGCTTCCTTGTCCACATGTAGCTCGGAGCTCTTTTGCACGATCGCTCGCGTTCTCTAAACGGTGGATGAGCTAATAATGTCGGTACATTCACGATCTTTGAAAACTAATCTACTAAAACTCAAAAATTGATCTGATAAATAACTATCAACTAGGCACAGCCAAATCAACAGAGAATTTATTGATGAATATTGAAGGCTTTCGGAACGGAATCTAGATTTAGGCCATGGAAACACCTGAATCTTGTAGGAATGATCACAAACTCTGGGAGAGAACTATTTTTGAGTTAATGTTAAAAAACTTTTTGAAAACCCGAGAATGAATGCTTCTGTGAATCGACTTCAAAGATGCGATGAAAAGAAAATGAAATTAAGCCAGATAGAGTAGAGTTGCTGTCACACTGCTTGGAAACGAATGAGAAAATGCCATTAAATGAAAGTCTTCAACATATAAAATTGATGGAAGAGAAAGAGAAATGGAATAATGAAAAATAAGCTGAAGTCGGTTATTGTGATGCAGAGCGAAGGAAAGGCATACAATGAAATATAAATTCTCATTTAATTAAAAGGAATGATGCAGAAATGAGATAAACAGATAATCGCTAGAATATTTGGCAGCTACGTTGTTGCTCTTGTCTTTGGCGCGCCGATTCTACCTACAACTCTGTCATATGATTAGATTGTTATCTCTATAGGGTGGATTCTTTATTGAAAGATGCCATGTTTCCTCGGTTTTCTGCTAGTCGAGCTTTTTTACATTATTCAAACCTATCTATCAACTGTTGACATTCTTCGATCACTTCGCAACGTCAGTGAACATGTAAACAATGTTGTTCAATCATGTAAGCATTATTTGATGAATTTCAAGTCAATTTCTAAATCCAATTTTCATACGATTTGTCAACAGGGTGTGAGTGGGTGTAGGTTTGGGCGTGAATGTGAGTGTAGCAATTGGCGAGAAAGATGATTTACATTCACGCCCACCTGCCCTCATCTCACCAACGCTCACACTCCACACTCACACCCACATCCACACATCTATACCCTGCAATATCAAGTTTTTTCACGTAATACGAGCAGTCACAGAGGAGAACTGCCTCTCACAGCTAGTATGCTACAACGCTGTTTGTGACATTTATTGGTGAGTAGGTGACTATGGATGTGAATGTGAGTGACTGCGAATAGCAGGTGCATTGGTGCCTACGTAAGCGCATTCACCACCGCCGACTCACACTTGCACTCACCCATTCCATATCCACATCCGCAACTTCTCCTGGCGAAAACTTTCAAAGATGCATTTTTTTTCTGATACAAAAATGTATCGGTCTTTGCAATGAAACATTTCAACACATATCTTATTTTGTGGAGCTGAGTGTTGGTGGGTATCTGCTTAAAAAAACGAACACCCACACCTACGCTCTTGTATGGGAAGAGTAGTCAAAGTTATAAGAGAAAAATTGAACAATGTATCAAACTCAAATGCATGGTGGGACGATTATAATACTGTCTACTATAGGCATCATGAAGAGGAAAAAAGATGAATTTTGTGTGAATGGTCCTAATCAAGTTCTGAAATGGATTACATATATTGAACCATCAATGGACGAGAAACTGAGACAGTATGACATGGATCTCAAGTATAACGATACAGCATATTATTGTATATGAAATATAGTAATCTCTAAATAAAATGTGTGTGTTTGCTGACTGCACATGGAGAAGATTTAGAGAACAACGAAAGTTGAAACGTGCGTGTTGCTTCAAGATATACAGGAGTAAAGCGATAATCTTTCATTGTGCATTGTCATCTATGACTGCGCTAAGAATATTGATCTAGGAGATTGCTTTTATTTGCATTGAATAAAAGATTCGAATCGAAGAAACATGAGTAGTAGTTTATAGCAGGGTTATAAGTGCGATTTAGAGCAGAATAAATACAATTGTTTTAAGATTGATTTGCAATCAAATAATACTTTTGGAGGTTTATTTTCTTACTGATTTATTCGATGTTATCGTTTCTATCGTTGAAAGCAATGTTCTTTTTAATACTTATATTTACTATTGTAATCCTTTCCCTGTATCTCTAGGCCTATCATGCGGCGGTGAGTTGATATATCAATCGTTATATATAAGAAGACGATCAATCGAAAATAAGGTTGTATTATCGCTATCGCGTCAACAGATAAAACTATGTGAGCTGTTCCCTTGAAACTGAGAGCTAAGCGAAAACATTAATAGGATGCATTTGAGGCATAAAAATCTAGTAACTGTGTATAAGCTAACAAGGTAAGATTCCAAACTTTTTGATAAAGATTGTATGCATTAGATCGAGCTTGACGAGTAGCTGTATAAGTGTGTAACGTTTTAAAGTTCATTATGAATCGTAAGTAAGATTTACGAAAAGTTTGATCAATTATGATTGCTTCCTGGAAAGGATATTCTCATTTTCGATAGTCCTAGTGATTTCATTTTCTCGAAGTTTTGCCATTCTCTGATCAATCGAATTACAATTAGATATTCACTATCATAGAAACTAGTCAGAATGAAAATATCGGCTTACTCCGAAGGCTCAGACGCTCAATCTTAGCACTAGAAAATCTCCTCTTGTGGCATGGTTCAATCCTACTATCTTAATATTTCACTTTTTATGCTCACGAATTCGAGTAATACGAAAACAGACCACCGGTTATCTAACTGGCATATATGATGGGTAACCCATAAAAATGATGATCTCCGTACTTAGATGATATCTCGGTCAATTTTCATTACTTACACATGATTTTTTCCCAAAAGATCCGCCGTGCAATTCTGAACAAAACGGTGTGTCCTACATAAGAAATGTAAGTTATTCATTTTTTGACACACAACATAATTAAACAATGACATTACACAACATTTTCTAGATTAAGACTTTTTCAGGTTTTTTGGGAACCCATTTTGACACTAATATCATCTTAGTGATTGGCGTGATATGTTCTCAGCTCTTTATTAAAACGAATATCACATAAATAGTATTAGCTGACACGAACTCATTTGAACTTTGCGTTGCGAACATGTCACAGAGTAATATTAGTATCAAAGTAGATTCCAAAAAAAAACCATAAAGAGTCCTAATTTAGAAGATTATGTGTAATGTGATTGCTTAACTATGTTATGTTTAAAAAACTGAATAACCTGCATTTCTTGAGTAAAACATATAGTTTTGTTCAGAATTACATGGCAGATCTTATGGGAAAAAAAAAATCACGTATAAGCAATGAAAATTTACCAAGATATCGTCTAAGTACTGAGACCATCATTATTATAGGACACTTGTTATTAAGAGAAATATATCTCAAAGTACCAATTGCTTTCTTTTGACTAGAGTAGAAATGCTGCTGAAATTGATTTTTGTCTTGATTGCTGTTGTGCACACTGGTTTATGTGAGCACGAATCGGGTAAGACTTGTGCATTTGATTGAAAGATTGTTTTATATGATTATTTGATGAACAGTAAAACGATGTGCTCGAGCAGTCGGTGCTTGTCATCTGACTCCGCAAGGCACTGAAGGACCCTATTACTGGAAATCTACCGTACGACGAAACATTACGTGAGTGTCAACCCTTGTTTGTAAATTCTTCATTATGATTATTGTATTGTGCAACAATAGCGAAGGTAAACCGGGCACCCCTCTTCGCCTCTTAATAACCGTGTTAGATTGGAGAACATGTTCACCTGTTCCCAATGCTGTCGTTGATGTGTGGCAGTGTGATGCCCTGGGAATCTACTCGCACTTTATCGGCGCTAGTATGGGATATTTTGAGGCAAAATCCGACAACACGACTTTCTTTCGAGGTAGAATTCTATTTCTCTATGTTCTTTCGTATCATATTTGTGAAAAAACTACTAGGTACATTAGTGAGTGATCTAGAAGGCCGCGTTGTCTTTGATACTATTTACCCAGGATGGTACCGGGGCCGAGCTACACATATTCACATCAAAGTACATATCGGTGCTAATTTGACAAATATAGATGGAGAAATGTATGCGACGGGTGGTCATGTTTCGCACACAGGTCAATTCTACTTCGATGATAATCTCACTGATAAAGTTGCTACAGTTGCTCCATACATGACAAACAACATTCGACGAACCCGCAATAATGAAGATGGAATCTATACTAGCGAAGATGGAGCGTCGATGATTGCTCCAATCCAGTTTCTCACCAACGAATTCACTGGTGGAATGAAGACAGAAGTCACAGTAGCCATTGATCCAACGGCTACGCCAGAACTGTTAGATAATATTCCATGATCATGACTTTAACATCATTTTCGTTGAAATTGAATGTTAGCCCAATATTGATAGAAATAAAAATGCTAATTATTTGGATGCTTCCCTAATTTACAAATTCAATCATTATGCGGAACAGTAATGGAGATTATTGCCCATGCTGTTCTGTGAGTTGCACAATCGTCGGGACGTTATTTTTCTTTCACGAGTCTGAAAGACTTTGTTGGTCATGAGTTTGCTAATTCTCAACATTGATGAGAGAACTTTAATCGATTTGATCACTATTCTCTATCTATCATAAAACTTGATCAACAAACATCAACTTATCTGATCAAATTACTCTACTTATTGATCTTCTTCAACATTCATTCGTCATTGTATTTCACAAAAGGATACAGTAGCTGATTATTAAACATAGGCAATTCTCTATTACTCGCTATGCCATATGTAATTTTGATATGTCGAAATTTTCCTTTCCGAGCAAAATGCGTTCATTCTTGTTACTAGATATGTCACTTTCTATGAGTAGGGATGCAACGGTGACGATAACCGGTCTAATCGGTAACAGGTCTAACGATAACCGTTCAGCCGGTAACCGGTGTGGGCCGGTAACCGTTCAACCGGTAACGACCGGTTACCGGTTGAACGGTTTTCGCTGAAGCGGTTACCGATTCCTACGATCAAGCGGTGACTGATCGTCACCGTTGCATCCCTACCCGCAATCAAGAAGACACGATTGTAGAATGAGCATGAAAAGAAAAAAAAATTAAAAGTTAATGACTATCTGTATTAATTGGAGCATTTGTATCAATTGGAACATTTCTATGAATTGGAGCATTTGTATCAATTGAAGCACTTGTATCAATTGCAGCATTTGTATCTGTTGGAGCATCTGTAGCTTTTGCTTGATACTTTTCCAAACTTTCATCTAGAAGTAATAAATAAATGAATATTAATCCATCTTCATTTTATACGTACCAAGTTCAATTTGTAGACTTCACAAATTATTAAATCCAAATTCAATAGAACACTTGATTTCTTCTGCTTTAATTTTCAAATTTTTGATGTTATCATCGATTAAATTTATATCTTGTTGTAATGGTTGTTGTTCATCTTTAGGGGTGTCAACTTTGCGTTCCCGTTCCTGGAAACGGGGAATGCTACTCCGTTCCCGTTCCTGGAAACGGGGAACGCTGAACACTCAAACATAAAAAGAAAAGTGAATATGTCTAGAGACCTCGCCATGTTGAAATATAGCGTGAAATGCGATTTTGACAAGCGTTCCCGTTCCTAGGAACGGAATGCTGAGGAACGGGGAACGCTGACACCCCTATTCATCTTTGAATCGTGACTTCATATTGCATTGAAGTTGTAGATGTTCTATCAATAGTTTTTGATCACCTTGTAATTGAATAAAATCTTGTCCCAACATATCAATAACTTCTTTTATCTAAATTAAAATTTAAAATTTAATTTCATATTTTATTAGAATTTTTGTTTACCGAATTCTGAATCTCTTTGAAATGAGACGCTTTTTTATCATTTTAATTTTTTTCGCATAACATTCTTTACAAGTTTAACAAATATCATAAGTACGACAATATATAAGATATGTTATTCGTCGATAAAGCTTTGGAAATAAAACAACAATAAACATATATTGTCATGTCTTTATATATCTTCTTTCGTCCTGCTATTCACATTATTCTCCTGATTTTTTTTCCTCATCTATTCGAATATCGAACCCTAGATTAATGTATATATTTGCCGAGAAAAATATTAATCGGTCGATTATAATAGTGTATACATTAATCTAGGGTTCGATGTTCGAATAGATGAGGAAAAAAAATCAAGAGAATAATGCGTATAGTAGTGTTGTATGGCTCATTTTCAAAGGAGATATAATTTATGTTATACATAGCAATATTTGAAATGTTGTAAAGAAAAAGATGCATGAGATTTTTCTTCAATTCTAAGTTTGGCTGTATTTTATACTTCTCAGCTATTTAATCTCAAGCATTAGTTAATCTACATCCATAATTATTTAAAGGCTATTTAGCTATTTATTCTCTTTGAACATCTTTCAATCTTTAGCTATTTAATGTTCAACACTATTTAATCGATATCCATAACTATTTAAAGACTCCTCAGCTATTTAAACATCTTTATAGCTACTTAAAGACTTCCCAACTATTTAATCTTTCTAATGCTATTTAAAATCTCTTCAGTTATTTAAATCGTACCGTAACTATTTAAGCATCTTCATAGTCACTTAAAGGCTGTTCCATTATTTAATATCTACAGAGCTATTTAATTATCTTCCTAGTTATTTAAAGCCGGATACCTATTAAAAACTTAACAGTTATTTAAACAAGTGTCATTTATTTTTTAACGTTGCTAATCGTTCTCGAGTAGAGAAGATTGGGAAAAAAATCCAAAATGAAAATATCATAGTGATTCAATCTAATATATCACCACTACGTACCCCTCAAATATCTAATTTTCAAAACAGATATTTTTTTAATATAGAATTCTTCTATAAACATGCTCATAGCTAACTAAATATCTCTCATGTATTTCTTTACCTATATAATATATGTTTTCACAAGCAACCATTCCAATTAATGCGATCTGTTATTTTTAATGCTACTGATTCTTTTCGAGCAGAAGTTACGAAGATTATGGAATTGAATGAAAAGTATTTATTATTGTTCAAATAGTTACTCCATTCATTCTCAACATTTAGTCTATTAATATACATTATTTTTTATGAGCTATTCAAAACTAGAATTATTAAAAAATTATCATAACAATTTGAGGTGTTTGATAACTATTCGCGAAAAAATAAATTTACAAATTTTCGATAGTCAGTCATGCAATAAAAACTGATTCGAATTTCTATAAGAAAGAAATCAGAATCAGCTATTTAAATAATTTAATAATTGTGTACATTTCTTTAAATAGCTATCAATGTTTTGAAATAGCTACTTGAATCAAATAGTTACGATTGTATAATAGAGGCGTCACATTTTAAATAGCTATATGAAACTTTAAATAACTATGATGTGTAATTAAAAAGTATCTCTTTTGAGAAGCTACAGTTTTTTTTTTGTTTTTTTTGTTTGTGCTCTGAAATCCGTTTAAACATTATTTTCAGAGCTTCCATAGATGTGCTCATAACTCCAAAAGTATATGTCTAATATAAATTTCAAACCTATGTTACGAAAAAAAAAACATAAAATTCTAATTTTAAACCAATATTTCATAGCTTTTGCTGATCATATTAATCGATTAAGAAATGAAGGAATATTTCAAAGACAGATACAGTTCGATTCGTAGTATCTCAAATTAATTAGGAACGATTCAGATAAGTTCAAATTTGTATTCGGTTAGTTGAATATTTCCTTTTAGATTCTATTTCTCGAAAGCAAAAACATACCTAAATTAATACACATAGTAAAATTTTCTTGTCGAACATCAATTTCAACTTTTAAACTTTGATGATTATTCATTAATAAATCTACTCCACTAACATCACATCGTTTTAAACTATTATCCATTTGTCTAATCATTTCATCCATCCACATATGTAAATCTCTCGTTAAATTAAAAAATCTATATAAATATTCGTAATCATTTCATAAATGTTTTTATTGATCAATAAATTGTTGTAATAATTTCCATAATGTTAAAACATTCATTTCTTTTTGTTTTATTTCTGTTTCTTTTTCATCAGCATAACATTCATTTAAACATTTTGATTCTTGTTGTATACGTTGTATATATTGTGCTAATAAAACTAATTCTGTTTCAAATTATTGATTTTTACGTAATAATTATTGCACACTTTGTTGATCATGACCAATTTCATATTGTATAGAATTTTTACGTTCTTGCATAATTAATAAAATTTCTTTACGATTATGTAAAAATTGATGTAATTTCCATGACGCTTTTAATGATTGTAAACGTGTTTCAATCATTTCTAATAAATCTTGATAAGATTCATTTAATGTAACTTTTAATTCAGCTATATATGCTGAATTAACATGTTCATTAACAATTAAAAGATGAATCATTTCATTAGTATGTTGTAAACGTTCATTACCAATTTGTTCTATTTCTTATGCAAATGCAGCAAAACAATCAAATAACATATATATATGTTCAAAATCTTGTCCAAGTTCATGTGAACCATCTATTAATTCTCTATCTGATATCCATTGTTCAAGATCATAAATGTCTCTATGTAAACGATAAAATATTAATGTTTCATATAAACATTATCGTCTTTTAACAGATAAATCTTTCAAACTAGTATATAATTTATCTAATTGTCTTTGTTATTTATTAATTAGATCATGTTATTCATTAATTAAATCACGTGATAAATTTGATTGTTCTAAATCTATTATTAAATTTTTTGCTTTATCACCTAATTCACGTAAAATATCACTATAATTTTCAATTGTTTGTTCCATTGTTTGATGTTTATGTATAAATGTTTGTATTGATAATTCATCTTTACCACGTTCTTCACTCATCATATATAATTCTTGTTCACCTAACCATGTTTCAGCTTTACTTAAATCATAATAATATTTGATAAATATTTTCTAATAATTCAATATTTATACGACGTTGTTTAATTGTTTCTTTTAATTGTATATGATTATCTGATAATTGTTGTAAATGTTTATGAAATTCTTCTTGATGTGTTGGATAATCATGACTTATACGTTGATATTTTTTTATGTAAATGTTCTAATAAATGTTGTTCATAATTTTCAATTTCTTTTAATAATGATTCATTTTTACATTTTAATAATTGTATATTCATTAATATTTCTTGTTTATTATTAAATATTAATCCAATATATGTTTGTAATAAATGATGTTTTTTTCACTTAACCATATTTGTTCATTTTCAATATCACGTAGATATTGATGTAAATGTTTTTTTTTTGTTCTAATGATAATAAAAGTTTAAAAAATTTTTCTTCAATTTGTAAACGTTTTGTATCAATTTCTTCGGATTTTTCAAGTTCTAATTGTTTTAATTTTTTAGCTTTTATACATAATTCATCAACTTGTTGTTGACGTTTTAATAATTCTTCTAGTACGGACTCACACGGCAAAGAGCATAGTGAATATCTCTAACAAACTAACATTTAGCGCCATCTATATTGAAAAGTATCACACTCCTGTTTTTTTCTTTAGTATTTCAATAGACTTTTTCATCCTTATTTAAACATTTAATTGTATTTGAAGTTTCATTTTTCTGAAAATTCAAGAAAGATATTAATTATTTTCTAATGGTTTATCATCCACCACAATCATATTTCCATATTTTATAGTCTTATGATCAACAAGATGGAATATTAATGTTTTTTTTTCTACGTATACGTCAAAAATATAAATTTTATTAACAAAATTATTCTTTGTTTTTTTTTGAGAAAAAAAAATATATATTTAACAAATCTCTTTATTTTGGTTAATATTTTGTGCTTTGTTAAAACAATGTCACCGAAGAAAAAACAAAGTGTAAATCGAACAGGAGTTTATTATTTGGCTGATGAACATCGAAAACTTTATCCGGCTTATTCACGAATGTCAATTCATGATTTGATTATACTTTTATTACCTCGTTGGCGTTCAATGACACTTGTAGAAAGAAAACCTTATGAAGAGTATGTTTTTTTCTTTTTTTTTGTTAAGTTAAAAAATAAATAAAAATAAACAAATTTTTCTTTATTATTTATAGTTTAGCTAAACAATATAAACGTACACGTATGTTAAATAATGAAAAAGTTATAACACCTGTTATACCATCTAGTGAAGAAGTATTATTTATTGAAAAGAATAGTACTGAAAATAAATTTTTAGATTCATATTTTTCTACTGATCTTATTAATATATTTAAAAGAAATTTATTTTTTGTAACATTTCAAATTTTTTGTCGAACTGATGATGAAGATGGTGGTGATTATTATCCAGCTGAAATAGCAATTATGAAATATTCATTTTATGAAAGTATTAAACAAGAATATTTTACAATAATTAAACCAGAAAAATTTCCTGTTGGTTATACTGGTACAGCTATTGATTTATCTCGTGAAACACATCAAATTCCACCATTTGATTTTGTTGGTGCTAATGGAGATTATAAACGAATATGGCAAGAATTCAAACGAGTAATTGGTGGTTAGTAAAATATATAAAGCTTTTTCTTTTCATGAATAAATATACTTTATAAGGAAAACATGCTCATATATAATATTAAACGAAAATCTTATTGATAATTCATAATAATTATAGTGTAGTGTGGCCATCGGTTACCCTAAAAATAGATAAAGAAGTTTGTATAGATAGTTCAAATATTTAGTTCGACATTGTAGTAAATAGACTTTTTAAGTTTTTCTATTTAAGATTTACGAGAGAATCTCTTTAAATGAGTCTTTCCGGTTTCAATGATATGTTACCAATAGATACTAAATAGTGTTTTAGTAAAACCCAGGTTCCTAATGAGATTTCACTAAGCTATCGAATTTTGATCTGAAACTTTGCACATATAGAGAACTCAACTAGATTGACTTCCATAAAAAAAACAAAATTTAGAAGTTTCAAACAAATTCTCTTCGAAATATGAAACTTTCAAAAAAATGTATATTCATGAAAAAGTGTCTATATCTTGAAGAGAATTTGTTTAAAACTTTCTATATGCGCAAAGTTTCAGATCAAAATTCGATAGTTTAGTGGAATCCAATTTTTATTAGAATACTATTTAATAACTAAAGACAAAAAGAAAATAACTGAAATCGGAAGGAAACATCTAAGGATTTCGATTCAATTCGATCAAAAATCTGATAACTTATGCATGCTAATTAAGGTCTATTTAGAAATGGAACTTTGACAATCACGTAGAAATATTGTGAATTCTTCTGATGCAATCGAGTCAGCTTTAGAATCTCTTCAATATCTTCGACAATCTACTCGCCTGAACTTTCTTATCATTAAGAAATAAACTCAATAGTCAACTAAATAGAATTCTATTATGAATATAGTTCATAAGTAGAGTAGCACGACCTCTCTTCCCTAAACGATTCTACATTAACTGAGATATTGAATCTTTTGAAGACTATGCTAGTCTAGAGGATATTCTATGTATGATCAAAATCTTGAAATAAAATTTTTCTTGATTAGATTCAATTGTTGATTCATCTATCAATGAACCAATTATAATATTTTGTAATGCATTTGAACGTGATCAAACAACTTATCTTCTTAATTGGCTTGTATCCAAAGGCAATAATAATGAACAACAATCATCAAAACCTTTATTTCGAATTTGTTCATTTGAAGCTTTAGCTGCTGCAATACTTCGTCGTCTTGGTATTGGTGATTTTGCTCATCAAAGTGTTCGAGAACAATTACGTCGACCTGTTTATACAATGCAAGTTAAAGAACGATGTATTTATCATGATTCATTAGCTATACAATATTGTTCTCGTGCTATTAATCACGGTTTTAGTCTTTTTCTTGATGGATTTGTTCGACAACGTTTTATTGAATCATTTTCTTCACATGTTCAAAATGAAATAATTGATAAAAATTTATCAAAATTATCACCAATAAATAATATTATGTATGAAATTAAATCAATAAGTAATGAATCAATACTATCAGGAATCGATTCAATTAGTTCAACATATATTGAAAAACAAAAAAATTTACGTGTTTTAACACAACAACAAAAAGTAAAAGGATTAATTATTTAGGTGTTTTTTTGTTTTGATTTATATTTTTTAGACAAATAAATTAGATACAATTAAATTAGGAACAATAGGGTCAAATGTATTTGTTCAATCATCATCAACAAATATTTCTTCTTCAACAGATCAACAAATAAGCAATTTATCAATGAAGAACAAAGTAAATGATTTTTTTTATTCACTTAAGATATTGTTAGTGTTATCCTTAGGGGATTAAATGTTAAATGAAACACAGTCTAAGGATTGAGAATGTGGCGCCCCACCGAAGATTGGGTTGACCTTCCGGGAGTTTCTGGTTATTGTATCACGTATTATGTGCCTGTGTACCCAAAAAAAAGGTTCTTCCAGAATCGCCATAATAAAAAAGATTGTCGAAATTTCAGTTTACCGATGAGCTGCAAAACAATGAAGCGAGAATATCGTTGAAACTCCGTAATTTTGACAATAAAAAAATTGTCACAATTCACCTGACGAAATTCTCGTTTACTACAGATAACTGTTTGGTATCTGCTATTTCCTCGTTGACAATCATCGCTGATTTCTACTACGTTCATTCTTATACTTAATTAAAATTTGTTTCATTCAGTAGAAATTTTCACAGATTTTATTAATATGAAGAAAATCACTATAACATTGTTCTTAGCTTCTTAAGTGAGACTAAGTAGTAAATTCTCTGAATTTATATGAAGAGGTAACGGAGGGTTTTGATTCTAAGTTAAACTCAATATTTTTTTTATAAAACCTGTATCTGAAAGTTAAAAATGGAAGAGAACTAGTTTTTGTATGCCATTTCGATCAGATACAGTTAGTGGTTCTTTTTTTCGCACTCGCATTTTGCAGCGTATAATAGTGGTGAAGATCAGAAAAAAATTCGATTCAGATTTCATTCTATGAAAGCGGCAAAAACTATTGACATTTGTACAAGAATTTTGATGCACTGCTCAAATTCATCAATCTGATGGGAGGATAAAAAAGTGTTTGAGCCTATCCAAACTCTGTGCTTCTACCGCCTATGATTGGATCTGATGTTGTATGAAAATAACCTATTCTGTATTAATACTGTTGAAAATTTCTTTGACTGACGAATAACGTTTTGTTTGTTTTTTCTTTTAGGTATTAAAATTGTCAAAACAACGAGCAGCACCTTCAATTGAAATTGATGGTCATTGGCCAAAATCTTCATCATATAACAATAATACTAATAATGAAGATCAATATATATCAACAGGTCGTGGTATAAGAAAACCAGTCAAATATTCATCTACAATAAATAGTAATGATTCAGATAGATATATTTTTGTGAATAATATTGGTCGTGGTCGTCGTACTAGTTTTATACCGTCGATGCCAGGACTTTTCAAGTTAATGCAATAGTATGATAAGTAAAACATTTAAAATGTATAAAGAATCTCATGTGAAAAATTATTTTTTTTTGTTTTTGAAATTATACTTAACTTTGTATTTTGTTTTTCATCCGTTTAGTAGTCTCATATATATTTTGTTTTGTGTATGTATGTTGATTATGATTTGTTTTTTTTTTGTAATTATAAGTCTGTTTTTTTTCAAGTGTAAATTTTGATTGACCAAAAAGATTGAAGAATTCTTTGTTTTTCTTTTTTGTTGATTTTTGAACAAGAAAAAAATTGAAAAATAATATGAATTTGTTTTTCATTCGATATCTTTAGCATGTAGTATGTATTGAAAGTTTTGCTTTTGTTTGTTTGTTTTTTTTTGCATATAGAACAGTTATTTTTCTATTTCTAGATTTTTAATAAATATATGCCACGACCAAATCGATCACCATTATTCTTTTATGCTCGTGACTATCAACGTCGTCATGGTCAACGAATGAATATTAATGAAGCAATAACTGCATGTTATGATGATTGGAAAGCATTATCAGAAGAAGAAAAACAACCATATAAAATTCAATATGAAGAATGGCGTATACAATATCGTGTAAATCCTGAATCAGTCAATGTATCAAATCAATATGTAAAAAATAAAAAACAAATTAACAATGATAATATTCTTCATGAACGTGATATACCATGTGAAGAATTAAAAC